CTTCTCTCTAAAATGGAGTGGTATGGATTTGAAGGATGGACTGTTGGATGGAGTAGGAATTGGCTAGCTAGATGAAGCCAAAGGGTTGTGATCTGGGTGGAAGCCGATCACAAGTAGTTTCCCTCAGGGGTTGGTTTTGGGACTATCGCTCTTCAACATCTTAATCAGTGGCATAGATGATGGCATCGAGTGCACCCTCAGCAAGTTTGCAGATGACAGCAAGCTGAGCAGTGCAGTCAATACACTGGAAGGAAGGGAAGCCATCCAGAGAGACCTGGACAGGCTGGAGCAGTGAGCCCATGAAAACCTAATGAGGTTCAATAAGGCCAATTACAGGGTGCTGCAGTTGGGTCAGGGCAATCCCAGGTGTTTATACAAACTGGGGGAAGATTTCTCTGAAAGCAGCCCTGCAGAGAAGGACTTGGGGGTCCTGGTGGGCGAGAAGCTGGACATGAGCCAGCAGTGTGCGCTGCAGCCCAGAAGGCCAACTGTGTTCTGGGCATTAAAAAAGGGGTGGCCAGCAGGGAGAGGGAGATGATTGTCTCCCTCTACTCAGCTTTTGTGAGGCCCCATCTGCAGTACTGCGTCCAGGCCTGGGGCCTTCAGCACAAGAAAGACATGGAGCTCTTGAAACAAATCCAGAGGAGGGCCACTGAGATGACCAGAGGGCTGGAGCACCTCTGCTGTGAGGAAAGGTTGAGGAAACTGGGCTTGTTCTTGAAGAAGAGAAGGCTCTGGGAGACCTCACTGTGGCCTTCCAGTACTTGAAGGGAGCATATAAACAGGAGGGGGAATGGCTGTTTATGAGGGTGGATAGTCATAGGATAGGACAAGGAAGAATGGTTTTAAACTGAGACAGGGGAGGTTTAGGTTAGACATTAGGAGGAAGTTTTTTACACAGAGGGTGGTGACACACTGGAACAGGTTGCCCAAGGATGTTGTGGATGCCCCATTCCTGGAGGCATTCAAAGCCAGGCTGAATGTGGCTTTGAGCAGCCTGGTCTGGTGGTTGGTGACCCTGCACATAGCAGGGGGGTTGAAACTAGGTGATCACTGCGTTCCTTTTCAACCCAGGCTATTCTATGATTCTATGATTACTAAGTCATTGACAATTTGCACATGCAGTTCTCCAAAGGTGTGCTGGGATAATAGAGGCATAGCCTATTTTCTGGATTGGCTGACTACCCATTTTACACCAATGTGGAAGGTTTTTCCTCTACTAACAAAACTATCCCTATCTGTCACCAGATAGTGGTAAATACATAGGACAAGGGCTTGAGGGGCAGTGTTAATGAAGTCAGTGGTGGATGTACATTTCTGGAGACATATTTCCTTCAGTTAAGGCATTCTCCATTTACCTTCATTAAGGTAAAAAAGATGAGCGTGTCCTACATACTTGTCAAACCTCATGACTCTTTGCATCCATGGCTTATGAAACAAGCTGCTTGGAACCTTTATCTTTACCCAAAATACTTCAGTTCCATGTAAACAGCTTTAGGTAATGTGTTTGGCCAGTCGAAATCTACATGGAGACCATCAGTGTTCAAGCTTCGTATGGAAATATACTTCTTTCCTGGTGTTCTTGAGTGCTAGGTCATGTCTTCAGCAGTGATGGCTAAAAGTTGGGAGCAGCATGTAGTGAAATATGCTTGTGAAATTGAGCCAGTAGAATCTCATCAGGCTGCTAAGTGCTTCAGATTATGAGGAAACCACTATCAAACCACTTTTTGCAGTGTGACTGATGTTCCAGAGACAGCATTGGACTTACTGCTGCCAAAAGAAATAAAAGTGATATTTATGCATTTATTCCTCCCAGTCAGTTGCTTGTCCTGGGCCTCCCACCCAGGGAAACATGGTCTTTCTTCCCAACATCTTGATACATAGTATTCAACCTCATTCAAAGAAACTTCTTGGTCCTACTAGCAATAATCCTTTTGTTTCCTGTTTGTTTGCGCTTGATGTCCGTGCTCACCAAGGCTGTGTCCCGCCAAGGTAGTCATTACACCTCTAGTTTAATAACATAAAACAAAAATGAGATTTGATAAAAGAAATTATATGCTTATATTGAAAAGAGATTTATGAAGTAGTACAGCAAAGATTATGGATTTGTACAAGGGTGCAGTAAATGTAAAACAGTGCAAAAGCCACATACGATATCCAAACAATTGCAGGCAGTGTGTGATGACATAGCCACAGTATTGTCAAACATAAGACCTTGAAAGGGATGGAGCTCTCTCAGCTATGGTTGTCCACTTCGGGGGGCAAAGCAGAACACACCAGAATAGCATACTTTCTCCAAAATGTTTTTTTTTTCTGATTCAAGAAAGAGGAAATCTCTATGGAGATACAAATTTTAACATATATTAAAAATACTATATCCATCCCTTCATAAATTTCAAAAGGAGGCATTCCATAGGGGTGAAACTTCACACCGCAAATTAGTCTTCTTGACTAAGAGAACAGATAAGGGTACAGTGTACTAATCAGTACTGAGAGGGATAATGCTTTGGAAAGCATGGACAAAGTTTTGGTCTAGTTGATGCTTTTCATTGCCCGTAGCTTCTCAAACATGATATCATTGCAGACAGATATCATATCTTGTGTGCCAAAAGCCTAAATTTAAATTGATGAGTTTAGCTTGCAGTCAAGGTTAGAGGTACAATAAAACATAGATGCTTTTTTACTCTTTCATGTTATGTATTTTTAGGTTCCTGACTTGGTTCTGAAGCTAGAACAATTCTCTTGGTCTCAGAATTCATTTAGTCTTTCAGCATATGCTGATGAAAAGACATTATGCTGCATCCTCTCTGCTTTGTTCTTTTACTGATCTTTACTAGAGCCCTAGAGCCTCCATTTGTGTCTGCTCTTTACTCAAAAATCGCTTTTCTCCAAATCCATTCACTACCAACCAAGGGGTGAAGCTTCAAGTTACACACTTGTTGCCCAATGTCTTAAGAATTCCACTTTCCTAAACGTATCAGTAACTTATTGGAGAAACAAAGAGACCATAACTTTTCTCATGTACAATTGTTTCAACTCTTTTATCCCACTGATAGTAAAATGAAGAAGTAGTAGTAAACATGAAAGTATGATAAATGCTCTTACTGCGTATTGAAACCAACTGCACCTTTGGGGAGATTAAAAGGAAGAGCAACATTCTGTGGGAACAGTGAAAAGCTAACATCCCACAAAAAGCAAAAGAAATACTTCTGCATCAAATGCACTTTTTGTTCCAGAGCCTTACTGTATAAGGATGGGCCTACGAAATTTAAAAATGTGAGAAAATGTGAGCTTTTTGAAACATCGTGATGGCTGATCACAGTACAATACTGTGAATAAAAAACATGTATTGAATCAATAGGTGTCTTGTTTAAAACTACTTAGTTATCTTAAAGCATGCTCAGGACAGAATTGGCTGAAAATTAAAGATGCTGGATAATGACAAGCCACCACAGAAAGTACTTATAAGCATTAAAACGTAAGTGATTCATAGCAACACTACCTAATTGCAGCTGCTGATCAGCCACAGAATCAACGAGGATTAAGAAAAAATAGCGCATTATTGTCTGCCAGCATAAAGACACAGCAATGTTAAAGGAAGCCTTCTTTAGCACTGGCTAAGATCACACTGTTCTAATGCAGCACTCCTTGATATTTATGAGAAGTGGAAGGGTTATCAGTTGGATGTAATACTGCCCAGAATGGTGGCTATTGTCTTTCCTGCACTTTTCTGTCTATGGAAATCACAGGGTCTTTGCCCAGTGCTGATACATATGAGTCCATATACTTTAAGGTGAGGTGGTAAAGATGCTGTCCTTTCCTGGTCTGCTTCTGGTAGGGGATTCTTCCCTACTGGAAGCATCAGATAGTATCAGCAAATGTTTTCACTGGACTCTTCTATAGCTGCAAAGATCCTGTTCCTCAAATTCTTGCAAGAATTTGAAGCAAGGTCCATGTGTGCTTTATTAAGGAGCTTGCCAGCAGGTGAGAATATTAGACCTCAGAAGTCTTGAAACACAGACAGGAAACGAAAGGTCACCCCAAATCAGCACAGAGGCAATCATTCTAGATCCTTTTAGATCTCATACGGAGTACAGCATAGTAAAGCAGGTAGATTTATTCTGATCTCCTAAAAACAGCAGTAGGCCTGACTTGATTCCAAAACCAGTTTTAGTCAGTGTTGATGTGCCAGTGCTTACTCATAGCAGCTGTGTGCTCAGTGTTACATGTCAGAGACTATTTTCTGGATCATTTTTTGAAAGTGAGGGCCATTCTGTCAGCATGAGTGAACAGTTCGGGGTTGATATTTTGCTTCTGGATACATTATGCTATTGTTATTCCAGACATAACAATTTGGTAGTAAGGACAGAAATACTGGCTTTTAAAATAAGAAGTACCTTCTTTGTTGTGACTTTGCTGTATGTTTTTATTAAGATTTGCATAACAGTATTGCAGAAAATCCCTTCCTTGTGAAGAGCTAATACCTTCACTTTCTGAAAGCTCCTAGTTCCCCATCTCTAATATACCACAGGGACAGAGTGAGAAGATGACAACTGATATTTTGTAAAGCTAAAAATACCATGCCTTTTTACATAACACTGGGAATTTAAAAAGCACATTTACTGCTTGCAGTTTATTTTTAAAAATGCAGTTTGAGCAACACCACTAGTACAGATTCAATTGACATTTATGAGAAGTAGCTGCTGTATGTTTCACTTTTTGGCAATGAGACATTCAGTAGAGAATGAAGTAAATGTTTTTTTAAAAAGTTAAATAAGACTCATACTGCATCAAAAGCATTAGCACACTGTTACACATCTCAAGTCATGTCACTGCCAGCGTCCCTTTTCTTACTGCACACAAAACTACTTCCCCAGACCTTGCTTCTTGATACTAGCTACCTGATGCTGATCACCCTGTCCACTTTCACTACAACAGATTCACCAAATGTTGAATTGCCATTTCTTTCTTTCTTTTTTTTCTCCTCTTTTTTTTTTTTTTTTTTTTTTTCTTTCTCTTTTCCTCATTGTCCTTCCTGGGACACTCAATCACTGTTCAGTTTCCAATAGATTATTCTAGATATCCAAAGTTTGTGTCTCTACTTTGACAGCATAGACCATTTTGAGAACTCGCTATGCAGAAGGGGAAAAATAATCTTTTGGTGCCACCATTACTTTTCTTCAGCAACGTAGGAGAAAATACCATTGAGCACTAAGAGGAATTTTTGATAAATACTCTATTGAGAGGGTGGACTGATTAATTCTATTGAACTGATAATTTTTTTATGGCTTTTAGGTATGGGCAGAACAAGATCACATTTGCTTGGAGGTGCATGTAGGTAAGCATGAGTTTATTTTGCAATAAGTAATGCAAATATATCCTGTGTCAATACCTCCACCTATTGTCTTCAGTTCATGCACATAGCCTCAAATATTTTTCCAGCTTGAAAGGACCCAGCCTTCCATTTATGTATGTCAAATATCCTACACCCTTTCAGAAGCTGAACCAGACTGGTACTTCCTTTTTCATTCTTTGAATCTCACAGAAAGCTTTTGTCTCCTGCACTGAAGGAAGGATCTCCAAGCAAGAAAGAATGGTATGAGTCATTTTGTTATCTCATTTCCTTTTTAGTCCTCTCAAAAATCCTATCAGTAGCTAATACAGCTTGATGTAGAATTAACTCTTGTGGTAGCTACTCCATTACTTCTGTGAAGCAATTACAGAGATCTCTGCCAGAAGAAGCATTTACTGAGGAATCCATACTGCCAGTGGCAGAAGGCCAGCAGAGAAGCGTATTGGAGCAACAGTCCCTTGAGGGTGATTCCTGCCTCTATAGATCCGATACAAACATTATTTTTTGTAAACATCTCCTACTTACAAAGTTAGTAGGCCTCTGCTTATTTTCCACAGCTGAAGACACATCTTGCAAGAAGCAATGTATGAAGTTTGTCTGTATCTTTCTGTGATATAAATTGGTCATGCTATGGAATTATAAATAAGGATTTAACAAAAAAAAAAAAAAAAAAAGAAAGATCAAAGAAGGAAAGCAAAATGAACAGTTGTTTTTCAGTCTTTTCATAGGTGGATAGACATGGTTGCCAATGAGATCTTTGGGGATGGAAATTAATGTTAGGATGAATGACAGAGAGAAGGATGATATTTTAAATTATTTTGGACTAAGCAAAGTTTAATTAAAAGTGGAACGTTCAGTGGCAAGATTTATATTGGTAATTTTTTGCATTTGCACAGCTTTAAAGGGGAGTTAAGGCAGAAGACATGGGGCACATTATTTATTGTAATATAATCACCATCCCTGATAATTAATTATGTGAAATTAATATATTTATTAAGCAAGTGTGACAATAGCTTTGTATTTTACAAGCAGTATTTCTCAGGAAGAATTTGCTCCAGTATTCTAACTTAAAAGATTTTTATACTGTATGTATCTATGTATATATATACAGAGCTACAGGGAACATAGGGAAAATTAGGTTTAATAATACAATTAATCAGCAGCTTAAAGAAAAGGTAACCAATGCTTAACAGGCATGTCTTAAAAAGTAAATAAAAATTAATTAACAATTTACAGCATACGTTTGTCTTCAGAGTTATGATGAAACTGCTACAGTATGGATTTGGAAGAAGCTGTTAAAAATCAGATCTTTTTCTGAAACTGCTTTTCTCTGTGCTATTATATATATGTCTCTGCTAGTCAGAGCTTTGCTCAAGCACATCTTTCTTCCCACCCTCTCCTGCTCAGACCTCTGCGTGAGTGCAGGGATGGTGGGAAGAAGCTGATGGATGGCCCCTGTCGCTTCCTAACTGTACAGGTCAACCTGGCATTCAACTCTGAAACAAGTGCTCACTTGGAGCACACACTTTTTTTTTTTTTTTTTAAACTACAGGTCTGTCAGTTTCAACTGCTCACCACCAGGACTCCCCTAGTGGTCTTCTGCAGAGCTGCTTTCCAGTTAGGTGCCATGTCCTGGAGCTTGAGACTGTTTCTTCCCAGGTGCAGGACTGTATGTTTCTTCTTACTGAATTTCATGAGGTTCCTCCCAGCCCATTTCTCCAGCCTCTTGAAGTCCCTTTGGATGGCAGCCACTGTTGTATCAGCCACTTCTCCCAATTTTGTAGCATCTGCAAACTTGCTGAGAGCATACTCTGCTCCATAATCCAGGTCATTAATGAAAGTGTTCAACAGGACTGGACCCTGTATTGACCCCTGCAGTACTCTGCTCATTACTGGCCTCCAGCTAGAACGTACACCACTGATCATTGCACCTATGAACACTTACATTTACCAAGATCTTTCAGATCAGCATTTAAATCATCACTACATAAAACATATTTTGTACACGCTTTCCACATGAAACTATAGCCTAATTATCTACGAAAGAACCTGCAGTACTCAAAAAGATGTTCAGAACCTGTCAGAAAGAAGTGCATTTCAAAGGAGAATTTTTTTTTGGTTCATTTACTTCTTGGCCCTTGCAGCAGCACCTCAGGAAAAGCAAAGATAGAAACTGAAGGGGGAAGGTTCAGCTTTACTCTGTTTATGTTCTGTTTTAGTTCAGAGATTCAGTCCTTTTGCTTTTCTCATACATGAGAATATTCATTAAATATGCCTTGTGTGGAAAAGACATCATGGGATGTTAACAGATATGGCTTGAATTTAGCATTTCATCTTGCTTCAAATAGAAAAAAAAGAATCTTCCTGGTGGCCACTTTGACACAATCTTTGAATCAAAAGTCAGAAGTGGAAATGTCTCTTACTCACACTATATGAGCATGTTAGAAGTCAGTAACAAACTAAGCTATATCTAATATCTGAGATGCTGCAGTATTTTTTCAGAATGTAAAACAGCTGCTCTTTTCTTATGCTAATGTATGATAAGAATTCCACTTTAAGTGAATTTAGGAAGAAAAGTTAGGTTTTGGCTTATTAAAAACAAGAAATTGTTCTCTGATGATAAGCTCACGTGGAACCTACTGTATGGAAGAGTCAAGCAGCTGTCAGAACTACTGATAGCCTAGAAAGTTTTCCCAGCTTCATATGAGAATGAATTTTACTATTTAAGGTAGATTTATATACATAAGGTCTGTAATGAATAAATGTAAGAGTCAGAACCAAAAGATAAAGACACTGTCCTTTGATCAAACTGACTACATAAAAAATGGCAGATAAAGCATGGCTGTGGGTGCTTGGGTACTGACAGGTAGAAGTACTGCCACAGCTAAGTGATACTGATTCAAAATTAAAAAAAGGAGTTCCATGGCATCAGGACATGTCAGACAGCCATGAGGCAGGTCTGTAGTTCTGTGCAGTGAATGAACAGACACTGTGGTATAATCTAATGGGAACACTGGATATTCGTCATCCCTGGAAGTGAGAAGTCCTCCTCTTTGCCAGTTCTTTTTCTGCTCTGCTTGCCTGATCCGTACTTTTCCGTACCTTACAGCATCATTATCACTTGCCAGATCCTTGTGTAAACCACCATGTCACTAAAGCAGCAGAAAGCCAATCCATCAAGAACTGGAAAGCTGATTTTTAGGCACAGTAGGTGCTATGAGTTGCTCACGTACCTGTGGAATCATACCCTGAGGCCAAAGTCAGAACAGACTGATGCAGATTTTATTGTAGTTTAATGAAAGGAAAGCCAAATCCAGAGTTCTAAGGACCCAGGTATGATGATGATCTTGAGACAAAGTGATAGACAAGGTAAAACGTCAAGCCTGGGAAATAAAATGAGGAGTCAATGTGACTTACCTGAAACCACCACTGAAAATGAACCAGTGAAAAGATATCCCTGAGATCAGAAAGGTTTACAGAGGAACAATTTTAGACTGTGGGTGGAGAGAAGGGGATTAAAATTGAAACATGAAACAGGAGAAAGACTTAAGAAATCGCCCACAGCTGTATTAGTAATATATCTGCTCTATGCAAGGATAAGATGCAAAAGCTGTTTGGTGGGGTTTTTGGTAAGCCTCCTCAGGACAGCTGTCCTGATCAATCCACGTACAACAGCTGTCTGGGCAGTCACTAGCTTACAAAACATTTATCTAAGACAGGCCTTGTGTCTTAAAATACCATTCTTCCTATTTCAATTTGCTTTTGTTTCCCTTGTCCTTGCGTTTAGATCTGGAAGTCAATGTAGATGTGCTATTCAGAGAGGCTAAAACGCCTCTGGGTAACAAAGTTTCACAAGATCTACAGTTTCCCAGCATTTTTAAAAGGTAGGTTTCAAGAGTTCAGACACATCAGGAAAATATTGAGTCATTAAAAAAAAAAATCGAAAAACCAAAAAAATGGCATGAAACCTGACAGATTTGGAAATACATGGAGGAGGGAGGAGAAAAAAACAACTGTGAAGAAATTTCATCCTCTCTGAAGACAGAATGTGCTGTGAAGAACATTATAGCATTCATGGCGGCCTCAGGAACCCAGACAGGAGAGTGGGATCTCTTATACTTAGGGAGTGTTACATTCACCATGCTTACTAGATCTTCAGTGCTGTGGAGAAGGAGAAAATATATAATAGCTGCTGGTATTCAGACTTGCCATCTTTTCTTTTCTGCAAGTGTCTTTCCTATGTAACTTTTACTTTGGAGGCAGCCTATAGGCAGTGTCCCTCTCTACCTACAGAGGCTCAGGCTCTTTATGTAAAGCCTTTTTCTGTTTTTTTTCTTTCTTTTTTTTTTTTTTAAACCTTTCCTTAGGCTCAGCGAAAGCAATATATGGGAGAATGAACTTACCTATTCCCCATTTCTGCTGTTAATAAAGACTACTCATCTGCCTTGAGCATAAGCAAAAATGAATGATCCAGGCCCAAGGCTGAGAACGAAGTCACTCATATGGGATCAGCAAAATTTAATTTGCTAGTGATCGAGGCTGGTGGAAGGAAGCTGGTGAGATCGGATAGGATTTGTGGGTGAAGGAAGCACAGAGCAACAGGGAGAAACCACGAGCACCTCCCAGCACGAGGGTGGGAAGGTGCAAACCGAGGACGGCCGGTGGTGCCGGGGAAGTGGACCAGGACGACTTTGCCCGTTGCCATCAGGCGAGGACAAATTTGATCCGCGACGGGGGCAGCACCTGCCCCTGGGGATCCTTCCTTACCACCGTGCCGGCAGGGAGACACGGGAGAGGCCCCAGGCGATCCTCCACGGGGCTGAGCTCTCTCCTTTCACCTGTCCACCGAGGGATGGGCGGAGGGCAGCGCCGCAGTGTGCACTCGCACACGGGAGCGCTCCGGGCGGCCGCATCTCCGTCAGGAGCAAATCAGGCCGGGGACCCCCGCCGTCGTCCTCGGCGGCTCTCCGGCAGCGAGAGCTGCGAGAAGCCAGGCCCCTCCCGGGGGACTCGTCCGCCGCCGCCGCTAGGGGGGCTGCCTTTAATTGAATCAAGTTTGCAAGTGTAGTTACCGGGAAACCAGCGCGAATCGCCGCCCTCCCGCCCGCCCGTGCTGCCGCCTCCATCTCCCGCATCCCCGTGCCCCTCGCTTCTCCTTCCGGGGACGCTCCCCTCCGCCCCCGGCCCCACCTGCTCGTCGCCCGCCAGTGCGGCAGCACCGCCCGCCTGCCGCTCACCTGCGCTGTCCCGGCGGGCGGGAGAGGCCGCGCCGCGCCCGCCTCCGGCCGGCCAGGCCCCCGCCTCCGCCCCGCTCCCGCGCTCCCCGGGGGCGGACGGCGCGGCCCGGCCCGGCCCGGCCCGGCCCTGCCTCCCCGGGCCGCGGAGGCCGGCAGCCAATCGGCGCCGCGCTGCCGGCCCGCGGGATCCCCCGGCCCGCGTCTCCGCGCCGGGGGCAGCCCGCGCTCGTACCTGGCCATGACCCCGCGCCGGTCCCGGCTGGGCCAGCCCGGCGCCTCCCGCTGAAGGCACCGGCTCCTTTCCGACCTCTCCCCGTCGTCGTCGTCGTCGTCCTCCGCTTCCTCGCCGCCGAGACCGCCGCCTCTTCCCGGAGACCTGCCGGAGTGATGGGCTGCATCGGATCCCGCACCGTGGGTAAGGCGTCGGCGGGGACGGC